CCTCAGAAATCATGCACTTGACTTATTCTAGAATATGTATTAAGCACCGACTCATTTCCCCAAGCACCAGGAATTGAGGGAGGAGTAAGAGAGCCACGGGCCCTGCGCCCAGCGCTCAGGGCCTACTGGGAGGGATGGGTATTTAGTAAAGAGGCCACAGGTAAAAATATTTCTGCACTCTTCAGTTTTTTTAAATAATATACACGTATTACTCCCAACATTTTGAGGAGGTAAATAAATATATACTTCGAGACTGTCATAGGGACAGGGAACGAAGAGGTCTGGGTTCTGTGAGAAACTGAAAAGGGAGCCCCGAGTGAAGAGGGGGTCTCTCTGATATTTAAACTGAAAAGTGAGGAGGCCAAGGGGGCAATGCTTGAAGGCCCTGGGAGGAGAGGCGATGGGGGGGTGCGAGGGAGGGAGGGAGGGGGGAGGGAGGGAAGGAGAGAGAGAATTGGCTCACGGGAGGAGTGGGGCCGGGCAAGGTGGCTGGAGCCTTGCAGGCAGGGCGCTGCAGATCTCTAAGTGCAGTGAGAAGCCCCTGGAAGGCTAAAGCAAACTGATACCCATCTTTAGAAGATCGTTCTGGCTGCTGTGTAGGGAGTGGACTGGAGGGAGCAAGAGCGGAATCGGGGAGCCAAGTTAGGAAGTGGGCAGTTGTCCAGGGAGAAGAGATGGGTGTGCTTGAAGGTAAGCGGCCAGAGCAGAGAGAAGTTGTCACATTCAGAATACCTGGGAGACAGGACAGGTAGCTCTGCATGCTGGGCTGCAGGTGGGGAGGGAGAGGCTCCTGTCCAGGAAGACTCCTGGGTTTCGGGCATGAGGAGCTCCTGGGAGTGGGAGAGGACAGGGGGTGGGTGAGGAAGAGCAAGGCAACCTTGATTTGGGGAGGGTGAAGGTGGAGTGCCCGAAGCCGCTCCAGATAAAGGCATCCTGCAGGGGTTTGCAGGTATGAGCTGAAGTTGAGGATGCAGCCTGCATGCTTTGCTCAAGCCCCATCCCGTGTCTCCTCGCTGGCCTCACAGAAGGGAGGCTGCTGTTGGCCTGGGAGGGACCTTGGTGCCTGAGGAGACAGCTGTTAGCTAGCTCGTGACCCTGGAGACCTTGTGTCACTAAGCCCCCTCCCCAGCCTGGTTCTTGGTGCTGGTCAGCACTTACCCCACCTCGGGGATTCTCGGGAAGCTATCTTTCCTCCTCTGCTCCTGTCCACTGCCCACGGCAAATTCACCGGCCTGGGAGCCGGAGCTTGGAGAGAAGTGGCCAGAGAGGGTCCACTGCTTCCTCAGGCCACTGCTGATGTCCCATGAGTCCGGGGCCCTTGCTTCTCCCAGGACCCCTGTCTGCAGACCACAAGGGGACTATCGTGTGCAAAATCCACACCCTGTTTGTTTTCCTCTCCGCCAAAATGGAGCCCCTGTTTGATTAATTTCTATTTTGTGGCTTATTTGGAGGCTGTTAAAACAGACCCTGGGGGACCCTCAGCGGTGATTGTTCCATATCTCATTATCTTTCCCGAACCCGATTATTAGCTCAGATTTTTCTGATCGCTAGCTGCTGTTGGCGATGAGCTGTGTGCCATTAATGCCAGCTGGTTCCCTTAAACAGGACCCTCCGTGCCAGGGAAAATGGGCCGGCATTCGGAGCCACCAGCCACTTGGCGTTTTAATTTTAATGGGCTCCACCAAATGTTCCAGGCCAAAGGGCCCCTGAGGAATCAGCACAGACGGGCTCCCAACCCCGCTCTGCCGCCCAGCCCAGTGCCTTCCCAGGCTGCAGCGCCCTAGCCGCTGGGACAGGAAGGCCCAAGTTCGGGGCTGTGGCAGGAGTGGGGGACGTGGCCATCTGCCTCCCCTGTATTTGCACCTTCCTGCTCTCTGGCTCATCATCAGTTGGGTGGGCAGGGTGACCTCACCAGCTCCTAGTCTCCCCACTTTGCTGGTCCCCAGCCCCTTCCCTGGCTCAGGCATGCTGGCCATGCTCAGGAATGAGCATGTTGGGAGGACCCCAGTGGGCTTCAGGGAAGGGCGGGCCAGAGGAGATCTGGGACCTGGGCATTGTTTTCTCTTCTTTCCTCCCCCCTACCGTGGCCTCCCACCCAGAGTTGGGGAGACAGGCTGGGACACTCACTCTGGACTGTGCTAGTCCTAGCCAGAGGGAAGAACAGCCAATCAGGGAGGCTTGAGGACAAGTCTTGAGTATTTGCTACAACCAGTGGCCACTATTCCTCGTCCTTCCATTACACTCCAGCCCTGCTCATCCCCAAGAGGCTGCCAGGGGAAAGTCCCAGCTGCCTGCTGGCCCCCTGGAGGGCTCCTGCTTTTTCTAAAAGAATGTAGGGGGTGGGGCTGGGGTTTGAACCCAGATCTTCTGTTTTATAGCTGGGGTGGGATGCAGGCAGGGCTGGATCAAGGGCCCTATCTACCCTGACTGGGACTGCTTTCCATTCATCTGGGCCACAGCCTCAAGCTGGTCTTTTCAGGGCAGCTTTGCTATGCAAACAGCCAGTTTTAAGTGGCACATTAGACATTAAAGCATCCCTCATTGAGATGGAAGACACTTGGAAAGTAAATAGCAACAGTTAAGAGCAAACCTTTGGAATTAGCAGACCCCTGGGTTCAAATCCTAACTTTACATGCCTCATAATAGCTGTGTGTCCTTAGGTAAAGTTCCTTAACTTCTCTGAACCTGTCTGAACTTCTTTGAGTCTATAAAAAAGAGCAACATGCCCTATCTAGAAGTCTTGTAGTAGTGGGGATTTAATTCAGACATTTAATGTGACGTGCTCAGCTCATGGCCTGGCACCTCCCCGTGCCCCTTTCCTCCTCTCCTCCCACCACCAACACCTGCCTGTGTGTCCTCCTGCCTCTCTCTGTACTTGCCTTCTCTGCACTCTGTAGGAACATGTGCCCTGGCATCTGGGGGAGGGGGCCACAGAAATAGGCAGTCACTGGCTGCCGAGAGCTGGGGAGCTCGGGACTCGATGAGCTCCATCTGTGAGTCAGGGCAGCCTGCAAGCAGGGCAGCAGGACCTAGTGTGGGCTGGCAGCTCCCTGGCCTGCCCTGCGGTCCCAGTGAAGTGTGTCCGAGCTGCCACACATGTCCCTGCCTCCCAGCCTTCCCTGGAGCAAGCAGAAAGAACAAGAATTGGACTCTGAGGATCAGCTCGAGGCTTCCAATCTAGACCAAACCCCCAAGAGCCCACGCTGGGTTTGCCTGGCCTCACTGTGACTCCGTGGGGCCCTGGGCTGCCCAGGGCCTGACAGGGTGGCACTTCCTGTCTGCCCAGGTCGCAGCACCATTCTTACTTTGACTGCTGCAGTCGCCCTGACACCCCAGAGGCCTTCCCCAGGCTCTGCATCTTCTCCATCGACCCAGAAAGTCGAGGCCAGAGGCGGGGCTGCAGGTGCAGGGTGGCCTGCTAGCTACCAGGTGAGCCAGAGCCGAGAGCAGGCTGCCCCAGGCCCCCGTAGGCCAGCAGTCCTGCAGTGGCCCCTGCTGCCCCTCCTCCCAGGAAGGATCTATGGGGCAGGGGCTGGCTCCGGCCTCCGTCTGGGGGAGTGGTGGCCTCTCTACCCCCGTCTCCGGTCTGGCCACACGCAGCCTCGCCTTTTCTCCCTCTACGCCTGTGCCTGTGCTGTGTTCCCCGCCACGATTCTTTTTCTTCTGCCCTGCCTAACCCCACCTTTCCCTCCTCCAAGAAACTCCCTTTCCAGCCTTTGCGGATCTCCATCCATTCATCTGTTTGTTGGTCCATGCACGGATTCCTCAGTCCCCAGTTTACTGAGCAAGTAAACATGCCATCCACTGTCCTGAGTGCCAGTCATACAAAGAGGAGAAAGGCGTGGTCCTGCCTCCCAGCCCTGCAGGGGCATCAGATCATGAGCGGTGAACTGAGTGCTGGGGAGGAGGGGCTGGGGACGTGTGAGGAAGCAGCTTCCTGCCTGGGAGAGGCGACATTCGTATGTAGCTTCATTTACTGAGGTCTCTTACGCCCCAAGCTCATGCTAAACACTTTACATACGTTCTTATAGCAGCCCTGGGATGCTGTAGATATTACCGTCCCTTTTTACAGATAAGGAGACTGAGGTAGGGCAAGGTTCAGTGACTCCCACTCTTAGAAAGTCACTGGAGGGAGAGCTCAGAGGTGGGCCTTACAGAACAGATGTGGACTGGGTAGAGAAGGAAGGCATTTGGGGCATCGGGACCAGCATGGGCAAAGGCCCCAAGGCGGGAAAGCTCCCATAGCATCTGGTGAGCAGTCAGCTGGATTCCTGGAAGGAAGGAGAAGGTAGGGTGTTAGGGGAGTAGGGGAGCCACGTGAAGGAGATTGCACCTTTTCACACAAGTCATGGGAGGAGCTGGTCGTGGTAGACGTGGTTGGACCTGTGTTCTAGAAGGACAAGAGACAGCATGGGGGACGGAATGGAGTAGGGAGTGCCCAAGGTAAAGGCAAGGGGGACCCCAGTGTCCCAGGCCAAGTGAGGGGGGCTGGGGTCTAAGAGAAGAGGACATGAGCCCAGGATGTGCACTGCACCCCCTGTCCTGCTCTGGGCTGCTCTGCTTAGCTCGGTGGTCACCTGTGGGCAGGTGTGTGGATCTCCTTCTCCTGAGCCCTGGTGGTTAGGCCTGTGCCTGAGCCCACAGTGGGGCCTGAGAAAGGGGGTGCTTAGAGGCTGAGGTGGGAGTGAGGGTTCCCACGCTTCCTTTACTTGCCGATTCTGTGTTCTTCTAACAGCGGCCTTTCCTTTTTCCCCTCCTCAGAGAGGTTGTGTGTGTGTGTGTGTGCGGGTATGTGTGTGGCTGAGGCTTTCCCCTCCGCCTCCCTCACGGGCTGGCTAACTGGGATGACTGGGCCGTGTTATGCTGTGCATAGTGGCACTGGAACAGGCGACGCTGAGGATTTGGGGTCCGGGGCAGACGGTGCCGCTCACTCTGCTCCTGCCCCAGCCTGCCAGGCCCCTGCAGCACCACGCATGCACGTTCTCTTCTCTCTTCCTAAGGTGGGCCTTAATGTCCTGGTTCAGAAAGCCAACAAGTTCACCCCGGCCACCCGCCTTCTTGTCCAGAGATTTGTGCCGTTCCCCGCTGTAGGTAAGACCTGCACCTGCGCCGAGGTGCCCCTGCACGTGGACAGGCATGTGAGTGTCACACCTGTGTGTGCGGGGTTGCAGGGCTCTTGGGGAGCTGGACTGCCTTTCCAGACCGCTTCTGACATCGGGGGGTCTCCTGGTGTGGGCGACTAGAGCAAAACATGGGTGGACAGAAGTAAGGGTGACGGGGGCCCCTGCTGACAAGCCCTGTGACCGAGATCCTGCTTTTAGCAGTGGCATTAGCCCCCGGCCACCCAAAGGCTAGTAGATAGAATGCAGTGGATCCTGTGAACTTGGCTGGGGAAAATGTCTACACTAGCCTCTACCTGAAATTTAACATATCCTTCCATTGTGAATGTAGGCAGCAAGCCCAGTAACAAGCAAGAGCCGTGGCTTTTTCACCCATAGAAATCATAGATATTTTCACATCTCATTACAGTTGTTACAGGGATTCTAAAATATTGTTTATATGCAACACTAACTCAAAATTAGAATATTTATTCAATCCACTGGTAGGTCTTGTTTTTTAATTCATTAATTAAAGAGAACACCTGTTACTATACCACAATGAAAAAATATTTTGATCATGTATTCCAATATAATCCCTTTATAATCCTGTATGTTTTGTTTCATGCATTTGGGGACATTATTTGGAGGGGGGCTCATAGGTATCTCCTGGCCTGTGACCATCACAGGGATTCCTGGCACAAAAGAAGGCCCAAAGCTCCTTCTAGTCTAGTGTTCTGAGCCCTTAGGTATTGTGGACCGTTGAGGTTCTGGAGGCCTCCATTCATAGTCAGGTAATTGTGGAGCATGTGCATGCATGTGTGTGTGGGGGGATTTCGCTGCCTTCAGCCGAGACTTTGCTGGTCTTGGAGCCTCTGAGCTCCCAGGAGATGCCTTGAGGCATCCCATCAAGCCCAGCCTGGCTCTTGAGAACCCCCCACCTTGCTTGGGAAGAGGGCACTGCAGTAAAAGTTTTTAAACTGAAAAAGAAACAACATTGACAGAAGCATGAGGCAGTACGTGATTGGTCATCAAAAGAGAAGTATACACTTGAACCATGACACCAAGCTCCCCATTTGATGCCAGAGGACAAAGATGGGGGCCAGCCCAGGAGCGGTGTGAGGTCATGTGACCTCCCGTGTGCCAAGGCTCAGTCTGAAGAGCCAGAGTCAGATCCAGGTTCCTGGTCCCAATCTCATGCTTCACCTTTAGGGCTCAACTTCCCCACCTGTAAAATGGGAGCTCGGGTACCTACCTTCCTACAACCCAGAGCCATGGGGGGATCAAACGAGACCACAGACTGGATTCCATTCATAGGATAGTGCTTGGGAGCACCTGCAAAGCCCCTGCGAGAAGGTGGGCGATCATTACCTGGCAGCCCCACCTCCTTAATGGCCAGAGGCTAATGAACTCCCAGGACCAGCTGCCTGGGTGAGCCTCACCTGACCCAGATAATTGCTATAGCAACTCCACACTTTTAATGAACTCTCAGCTATTTCTGGCATGGGCCACTAATGGAATAACTCTTTAGATCTGACTTTGTTAAGGGACCTAATTGAGCGAACAAGGCTGCCGATCCTGCGTTCCTCACTCTCCTGGGCTGGAGGGTCAGTTGCAGCCTCAGAAGGTGGCAGCTCTTAGCTGCACTGGACTGGATCTGGGACTTGGCTGAGATGTAATCTGTCCTTGAGACAAGCTGTGCAGACAAGGACTTTGCCAGGGGGGTCCGTTCTAGCCTTGCTCTGCCGGCCGTCTTGCTGTATGACCTTGGGGCTTGTCCTAACCTCTGGAGCTCCTTCAGGAGGAAAGGCCCCGCTTTCAGGTTTGACCCTGTCTGCCATCCCCACCTGAGACTTTCTGACCTGTCCCTCTTTGGTCTCCAGCCTGATCCTCCTCCTGTCTTATCCGAGAGGAACCTGCAGGTCCAGCCACTGTTGAGGGGTCTCGAGATCCCACATATCCTAGCCAGTTGCACAGGTTGCACACAATGTGGTTTGTAGTCCTGATAGTCCTGGTTTGCCAGGATCCTGAGAGCAGCAGATCCTCTTTGGCTGCTTCCTCAGGCCTGCTGCCTGAGTCCTGGCTGTGTGCCTGCCTCCCTTCCACCCCTAGCCCCGGTCTCTCCTCACCCACATGGAGGCTTCTACCTCCCGGGCCCTTGATGTCCTCCCAGGCCCGTCTGCAAATAGCACCTGCTGACTCCCCTGGTAGATGCCAACACAGTGGTGTGCAGGATGAACAAGCATGCCCCCCACCCGCTTTGGGGCTCCTTGTTCTCTCAGGCTGTCATATAGCCCCTGCACTTGGCTACCCTTCACCTTATTCTCAGGCTTAGACAGCTTCTCTAGGCCTCACTGCATGCTGGCAGGGCCTCGGTCCCTCCAGGCATTCACCTTGCTTTCCATGGCAGGCTAGACCAGGCCACGCCACGCCACGCCACGCCAACATCAAGGCCACCAAGAAGCTTGCCCAGGACTTGCTCTGGCTGGTAGAGGGTCCGTTGTCCCTTCAGACCCCTGGCATGATGGGGAGACAGGACTCACGGAGCCATGCATGCTCACAGGGAGTAGGTTGAAGTGATAGGATTAAGCCCTAGTTGTTGGGATGTGTGTGGGGGCTCAGGGTGGGGGGTGAGTGTAGAGCAGAAGGGGATCTTAGTTAGGCAAGGGCCCTGAAAGGGCCTCCCCACTCCCTCCCTCCTGGCCAGACTGGGAACTCAGGTTCAGGGAAGGAGGAGGCTCCCAGGGTCTGTTGCTTCTTCCCTCTGCCCTGCCCAGCAAGTTCTGCCCTCCTCCAGCCTGCAGTCTGGGAGATAGGAGGACACCTCCCTTCACTGGGCCCCACATGCTGCCCAAGAGAGAGATCTGAGACTCTGGGCTCAGGACACCTCGTTCCCCCACCTCACTCCACTGCCTTTACCCCCTCTCTGGCCTTGGACCAGACCCCAGTTCAGCCCCTCCCCACTGGGATGTCTGTGACAGACTGCAGGCCTCCCCTGGGTCTGCAGGGGCCCCACCGCCCTCCATGTTTTCCCCAGCAGGCCTTCGTTCCCCCTCATTCCCCACATTGTCTCTCTGGGATGACCCAAGGCAGGGCGGCGAGCCATCCCCATTTTATAGAAGAATAAACATTTTCAGACTGAAAGTTATCCTGCGTTGGCTATAGCCTGGGCCTCAAAGGCCCGGCCCAGGCTACTTCCAGCCCACGTGGATAACCCCTCACCCACGTAGCTGAGAAACTGAGGGACGTGGTCCAGAGGCGCCCCACGAGGGGCACCCCACCTCCAGGCTGCCCCTGGTTTTTCAGCCGGGGTTCTATGTATGTGCATGCACACACGTGTGCTGAGTACTGAGAAGCCCTGAGGACGCTCACTGAGCCCTTCTGTCCCTCATGGTGGTTTCAGAGCCTTGCTGTGCCCTGGTCCAGAGCAGCAATCATGTGGGAAATCTTCGTTTCTATTTATACATGGATGTTAGGAAAGACGGTGAGCCCAGGAGCATGTGTGCTGGCATCAGAATCGATTGGGGACTGGTAATTAATTTGTTTAGACCTTAATTAATTCTCCAGTTCTTTCTTATTTGTGGACTGTCACGCTTAATTGTGTTCAGGAGCTTGAGCTCAGAGCAGGCCCTCCATTAATTGATGGGTGCTGTGAGGTGGGAGTTAATGGTTTGGGGAGCTGGGCAAACAGTGTAATGAAAGGTCAGTCGAGGAGGCATTGGAAAAACACCCTCCCCTCCCCAGGTCCAACTGCCAGTCTCCACGAGCAAGAGTCCATTCCGGGAGAGACAGGCCCCGCAAACAGCCTTCTCGTGAGGCCTTGGGCTGGGAGCTGGCAGGAGTGACCAGCGGGAGGAATGCGAGGTCGCAGGTGCCATGAAGGGGCACTGGTGAGAGGGAGAGGCATGCATGGGGCAGGGCCTTTAGCCAGAGGCCCAGAGGTGGGGATCCCCAGGTGTCCCCAGGCCAGCACATCTCTGAACCAGGCTCTGCGTATGTGCATGCAGGGGTGAGGGAAGGAAGGAAGCCCTGAAGTTCACCCCCACCCCCGGCTGCCTGGCGCATCCATACCAAGCAGGGGACAGGCTGTATCGGGTGCTAAGAAAGACCCCCATGTGGGCTTTGAGCTCCCTCAGGGGAGGCCTGAGCCTCAGCCCCAGCCAGCTGGCTCCCTGCACAGGGACTAACCTTCCTGAATGGGCCAAAATGCCAGCCTCATCTTCCCTTTGCCGGGAAATGACTTCTTCCTGCGCTGTCCGCAGCAGGCCCTTACATTAAATGTCACCGCTTATTTCATCACCAGGAAAAAAAAATCTCTGCATTCACCAGGGGGTCCGCTCCTCAGGATGTCTGGGCAGTCTTTGGGAGAAGGTCTTCTGTCCATACATCTGACCCACCGCATCTGCTTGCTCCCTTCATCCCCAGGCATTGATTTCCCCTTCCCGGCTCCTCGCTTGGTGTTCAAGCCGCCTGGCTTGCCTTGTCTGGGAGGTAGCCATGGCTGTGTGTCCAAGCCCCAAGGGTTAGTCCTGACCCCCTCCACCCCTCATCCCCTGTGGTTAGAGGACAGCAGCGTGCACCTGTATCAGCTGGGCCTCATGACATGCGTTCCTTCCATCCAGGTCAGTGGTAATGTGGCGTCCACAGCCCTGAGGCTCCTTGGTCCCTTCCTTGACCTTTGCACACGTGCCCTGTTTGTCTGGAATCCTTGCTCTTCCCATTTCCTCAGCCCCATCTTCTGCCTTCTCTTGACTGCCAGGCCTTTGTTTCTCAGCTCAGACACCACCTCCTCCAAGAAGCCCTCCCTGGTAGCCCCAGTTAGGGTTAGACCACAGCACCCTGTGTGTGCCTGTGTGTAACCCAGAACTGCCCATTTTGTTCCGGAGTTTGCCTCCTTCATCAGACTGTGAGCTCCCCAAGACAGGGACTGGCTGTCATTCATCCCCAGCCCCCAGGCTCACCCTGTGCTTGAAACACAGTGTTCAGTGTGGGTTT